TTAATAAACTTTACCATTTGTTCAATGGCCTAAAATTTATCTCCTACCACCTACAATCGTGTGTACCGGAATCACTCTGCCGATAGAACATTATTTCCAAGTGGCGGATAGGACGCTCCGGTGGGGGCCTCGGCTGTATTTACAGGTCTCTTACTGACCGACTTCTAGACTTGGAAGGTCAGCTACCAAGGTTAGTGGTTCCCCATATATTTTGCCGAGGTGTCAGATGGTATTTAATCACGTGCGAAGTAGGACATTCCGGAACGTTTGAAATCGATGCGATAATCGATAATGATCGATTAATCGCTAAACTAGTGGATTTCCAAGGCAATTCTTACTTTCTCCCGGACACTTCTTATTCCCCTCTTACGCTTTTTCTCACCCTCCCGTTCCAGCTTCACTGTTATCCCCTCTGTTTTCAACCCCCTCAGTTCTTGGCCCCCCACTTTGCTTTAGTAGGCTTTCTCGTTCTAGTTTCAACTCGCTTGTGAACGCGGAGCGTCATTCCTGTCCTGTCGACAAGCCCATGTCCAATCAAACGGCCAAGCCCAGTTCATTGACTTCCATTTGGAGCCCTCGATCCTTCCCCGGTGGCATGCATCAATGTACCCACATTGTTATACTTTGATCGACGCATCATTTGCCCGAACATTAGAGACCCTCTCCTTATCGGAGACCCGCCTGCAAGACTCGAGCTCTGTGCTCACTTTGCGATCCCCTTCAGGTGACACCAGCAGCACTTTCTCATTGTACCTATCCGGTGACAATGCAGCTTCGAGCACCGGCCAAGCTGGTGTTGGTATTGCCCTGAGTCCCTGGGCTGAAACTGCACTCGTTGACTGGATTCCAATCAGTAGCCGTGCGTGCGGTCTGATTGACTGGCTCGTTCAAAGCTTAGAAGTCGCGTGGGACTAACTGGTGTCTATTCGTCATCGCTGCCTTTGCACCCACAAACTCTGGCAATGATTCGGTAAAAGACAACATCTATCGTCAACTGAACGAGCTCCTTCGCCACGGAAGTAGCATGGACATTGTAGTGCTGGCTGGGCATCTGAACCCTCAAGTTGGAAAATTATCCACTGATGAACTGCATCCAGACAGCCAACATGGTATAGGCTCCCGTAATGATAACGGTGAGTGGTTACTTCATTTGTGTGAGGATGCTCGCTTATTTCTTGCGAGCACTAATTTCCGACACAGCACCCGCCGAAGGGCGACTTGGCACCCATCAGCCTCGAGCCAGCTATGGACGCAAATCGATCACATTGCGATAAGTTACCGCTGGAGAGGCTGCGTCCAGAACTGTCGCTCGATTTGGAGCACAGGTGTGGACACCGACCATGCATTGTATGTGCTGACCTGCGGATGCGCTTTGGCGGACGCCCACGACGATGTTGTGAGCGCATTGACATCAGCCAACTGACAAAGCCAGCTGTTCTGAATGCCTATCGAAGTACGCTGTCATGCGAGTTGGATAAACGCTCACTGGATGCATTTGAAGCTCACTGGTCCATGTTCACCAGTCCTTACTAGAAGCAGACATATCCTCATGTGGTAAGTCTAGTAGCCAACATGGACATTGGGTCTCTTCAGTCTCTGGAACTTATCGATGCTCGCCGGCATATTCCGACTGGAAGCGAATACAATGAAACTCGCAAAGAGCTCCGGGCAAAACTCAGTGCTATTCTGAAGAGAACCGCGAATCTTGGTGGTCTCATCGTGCATCAGAGATGGAAATGGCCGTTGCCCTTGGTAACCATCGTAAGTTATTCCGTCTGATACAGGAAACGGGCAGCAGAAGACCTGGTGTTAGTGAAACTATACGTGACGAGATTGGACAGCCTATCCACAACTTGCCAAAACGCTTGGAGCGTTGGGCTGAGCACTTTAAAAGGCAATTTAACCGGTCAGAATGGTTAGATATCTCGCCGGCCAATGATCGCCCCACTCCCTGGGCTGTCCCTTTGGATCCACCCTCTCGCTCAGAAGTCAAACGTGAGATCGGACTGTTGAAGTTAAATAAAGCCGCGGGACCAGATGATCTACCTCCAGCCCTCTTCAAATTCGGGGGACCTGCTCTTATGGATGATTTACACGAGCTACTAGTCAAACTGTGGGAGCGGGAAACTGTCCCAACCGACTGGAGCCGCTCCGTCATAGTCCCAATTTTCCAGAGAGGCTTACGATCGGAATGCGGCAACCAGTTAGGAATCAGTCTGATCTATCTCGCCTCCAAATTGCTTGCCTCTGTCATCCTTCATAGACTGACTGGCACTCGTGAAAGCCAGATTCGTGAAAAGCAAGCTGGATTTCGTCGAGGTCGTCACTGCATTAACATCTTCACCTTGCGTCAGTTGTTGGAGCACCGCCACATAGATTGGCGGCCTACCGTAGTCGTGTTCCTCGATATCAAAGGTGCATTCGATTCGGTGGATAGACGTGCACTTTGGGACTGTCTACTCAGGAAAGGTATGCCCGAGAAATATGTAAATATTATCCGAGCATTATACGCGCGCAGCTCAGGTAGAATGAGGCCTTACAGCAAGTTGTCGTCGCCCTTTAATATCTCCAGCGGCGTGAGACAAGGATGTCCGCTGTCGCCTTTCCTCTTCAGCTTTGTTATTGACGAGGTCATGGATATCGCGTTCACAGGACACGACTTTGAAAGTGTGGATCTGCTCCCTGGAGAACGACTTTTTGGCTTAGAAAATGCAGACAATATTGCCCTAATCTATGACAGCTCACAAACGTGCCAAGCGGCACTGGGCAGATTAGCACTAGCTGTCCGTCACTTCGGGCTTTGCTTTGCACCATCGAACTGCAAAGCGTTCCTCCAAGATTGGTCTGGGCCGCCGCCTACGCTGACCGTTGGTGGGGATCAGCTAGAAGTCGTCCAAAAATTCAACTACCTGGGAAGTTGTATCAGCGCCCGTGGGATTGAAGATGAGATCACGAACCGTATAGCAAAACCTCGAGGCGCTTTTTCTAACCTTCGCCACTTATGGGGCCGGCGCGACATCACTCTTGCCCTGAAGAGTAGGGTGTGCAATGCAGCGATACCTTTGACCCTACTGTACGGTTGTGAAACCTGGCCGCTTAGATCAGCGGACATAAAGAGACTAGTTACGTTCGACCACCGGTGTCTTCGTAATTTAGCTGACATCTGGTGGGAACACCGCGTGAGCAACAAGCGTGTTCGACGCCTTGTTTATGGCATCGAAATAGGAATTGAACCACTCAACACCGTTATTTCACGCACCAGGCTTCGATGGCTCGGCCACGCAGGTCAACCCACTGACTCCCGCGACGTGCGTTGTTTGCGGGCCGGGGGGTGTGGATGGAAGAAGAGGAGAGGTGGCCAAGCGATGATTTGATCGAGAAGAATAAAGGCCCTCACTTCGAAGGTGGCCTCAGTTGGATCGTCTCAGTTGCCTGGTTGGGCTCCGAAAGACGATGAACACGTTTGACTGGCTACACTTGTCGATATGGCTAGAAGCCGACCTCAGTGGCGTCCGTGCTGTGAGTTTCTTTGTCCCACCCCACCCCTCTTAGCCTCCCCCTCCAACCACGATCTCATTATCTAGCATTTTTTAACTTTTGCATACGAAATTATCTTTTTCTGTCGCATAGTAGCCCGCCGGTAGCTTACTGGAATAATGCCCATCAATTAGCCTTAGCTCAGCTGGCTTGCACCTGTTGCTTTTTCCCCTTTTTTCTTTTAGGTATTGCAGCGCAGTAGCTGAGGTTTCTCCCACCTCTAGCTAACGTGTATAGTGTGTGAGTGTGGCTCATCCCTATTGTAGACAACAACGTTTCGTTGTCTACCCATAGCAAGTTCTGTACTTCGTAAGTAACATTCCAATGAAGACTGCAATTCATCGACTTGAACGCGATGTCTCAGTTAGAAAGCTTTGGTCACTAATCAACTTTCACGCAGACTCTAGTCTATGCACACAGTTCCTACTAGCAGAATCATGTACAGCTGAGACATGAGTAATTGGATCAACAGTCCGATCGTGTATCAAGCGAGAACAAGTGTCTACCAAGCACATACAGTGGAAGCAAATCCACTTTAATTGGGGATGTCGGGCATACAAATCAATAGAGTCCTGGTCTAATCTAGAGCAATGGTGATATATATATATATATATATATATATATATGTATACAAATATATATATCTTCTATCCAGTGTACATTATTCTGAGACTTGCTCGGGAGGAGCAGTTGCCGCATGTTGACTTAGAGATGAGAGTCCCACAGGACTCCTGTCTAACTTACTTCTCAATTTCTGAAACACAAGTTCTCCATTATCTTCAGGGGCTAAATCCTGCCAAATCCGCTGGGGTGGATGATACTCACCTGAAGTTTTTGTACGAACTCGCAAGCAATCTATATGGCCCAATTACATGTTTTGTTTTAGTTGTCGCTTCGTAGCTGTTCTTTACCCAGCGACTGGAAGGATGCTATTGTCTGCCCAATTTTAAAAACTGCGACAAGCGTAATGGTCAAGTTATTGGAGAAGTTGGTTAGGGATGTAATTGAAAACCATCTGCGGCAGTTTTGGTCTTCTCAGTCTACTTCAACACGATTTTCGCAAGGGCCACTCCTGCAGGACTAATTTACTAGTTGCATGCGAATGTTGGGCAGGCGTTTTGGATCGGGGTCATACAGTAGATGTGCTGTTTCTTGACTTCTCCAAAGCCTTCGACACTGTACCACATTCTCGCCTCTCCTTGAAACTTCAGTCCTATGCCATATCAGGTGTGCACTACTATCGATCATTACATTTCTGGTAGGGAGCAGTATGTGTGTTCATGTAGGGTCTAATTTCTCTTTCCGTCAGTCAGTCCTCAATGGGTCCCGCTGGGTTCGGTACTTAGTCCATGGTTATTTTCTCTGTATGTCAATGAGCTGCCCGAACTTCTGGGGGCACAATCTCTCATGTTTGCAGATTACCTAAAGTTTTGGTACACAGTATCCGACCTCGATGGACTCCAGACTCTGCAACGGGCCCTCGATAAACTTTGGGACTGTCTACTTTGGACCTCGTTTTGGTTAATTCACTTGATTTGGTAAGTGTGCTTACATACGTCTAAGTGACACTGATCATAGTTGCATACCCTTTTGTTATGCTTTTTCCTACGCATCATCAGGCTATCACTTAGGCGTTCCTAAATATTTATCAAG